AAAAAAAGTGAAAAAAAAAAAAAACCCCTTCAATTACAATAAACTAAGTTTCCCCCGGGTGAGCGCAGTCGCCCCCTGTTGCCATACGCAGCTCATTTTCTGCAAACTTCACAGCCTATATCTCGGTAAGTAACCGATGGCAAAAATTTTTTTTTTGGACTAAAACACTCAGAAAAATAATCTTAACATTTTCATAAGAAAAAATAATTTTTTTTTTTTTGAATATTTGGCGACATAGAATGACAGTTTCAGAGAGGGGCCTGAAACAGTCAAAGGGTTAATAAAATAAAAATGAGTGTAGTTTATCTTATTTTACATTTTGTTAGTTGTTGCCTGAAACATTTGAAGAGTGAGGAGTAGGTTAACATGGTCTACAGGGCTGGGTTTGATGTAAGCATCATAAAATTAAAGCCACACTTATTAAATAGTTCAAATATGTCATTCATTATAGAGAGAAGTTCCAATATTATTAATTTTATGCCTTTTATCCCGTGGTAATAACTACTGTAATTAGAAATTAAACATTTTAAAGCTTTAATGTTTATAATTTTACTAATTCAGTATGTTACATCTTTAGGTTTTAAAGATCTTCCTTGACAATGCCTTCCCAGTAGCCTTGCTGAAGGTTCCAGCAGCTATACGCTGCTTAGACTTGAGTTCTTCTAGGAACAAGTTGGCAGTTGTTGATGAGCATAACACACTTCTTGTTTATAATGTTTCTGACTCAGAATTGCTCTTCCAGGTAAGTTATTATATTTTCTCATCTTATCACTGATAAATGTACAGTATAAATATATCACATTAGTTACTGTATGTGAAACATACATTGAAGGGCAGAAATGTAGGTATGTATTGTACAGTGGTACCTCGAGTTTCAAACAGCTCTCAACTCAAACAATTATGTAAGTGTATTTTTGTAAGTGCTTTTGCAAGTGTATTTTGGGGGTCTGAAATGGACTAATCTAATTTACGTTATTCCTTATGGGAACAAATTCATTCGGTATCGGCATTTGAACAGCCTTCTGGAATGAATTAAGTTCATAACTTGTGGTACCACTGTATTAGTCATTCTTATAAGAATTATGCATGGAAGGGCAGAAATGTATGAATATATGGTTTTAATTATTTTCATGTACTGTATATAAAATATTCAGCTCATAAATATCCGAGCTGTGATCATCCACACTTAACCCTCTAACTGTCCAAATGTAGATCTATGTTTGCGGGCGTAGTGCTCCGACCTTGATTTTCTCCATAAGAAAGAATGTAAAAAAACATAGATATACATTCAGTGCGCTACGCGAGCAAACGTAGATCTACGTTTGGACAGTTTAAGGGTTAAGAATGAGGTCCATGAGAAATAATATTTAAAAACAATTTGGCTTCAGATGTTGATCCCCAGTCATGACCACACACACATCAGATAACAAATCTTTGTACTATTGATACAAAGGATGGTTCTTGCTACAAACAACTTGTTCATAGATTGGAACACTAGGAACATAGCTTATTCATTTCTTGGGTTCTGTATATTTACCAGCTCATTACTGTAATGTACTGTAGTTCTTATGAAGGAGATTGTTAACATAGCTTGTGTTTATTAGGAACCAAATGCAAACAGTGTGGCTTGGAATACCAGCTGTGAAGAGATGCTCTGCTTCTCGGGAAGCAACACCCTCAACATCAAAGCTTCAAACTTCCCTACTCATCAGCAGAAATTACAGGTATTTTAATCTCACTCATTTGACAACATTTTGATCTGGTCTATTAACTTGTAGCTTATGTATTGATTTTGTTTGTATTTAATTTTATTAGACAAATTGAAATTTTTTTTATTTTATTAGTCTTCTTTCAGTGCACTGACCATATCCCAACTGGGAGGCAAGGTGCCCAAAAATAAAAATGAAAGTTTCTCTTTATAAATTTAGTAATGTATACAGGAGATGGGGTTACTAGCCCCTTGCTCCTGGCATTTTAGTTGCCTCTTATGACACACATGGCTTACAAAGGAAGAATTCTGTCCACTTCCTCAGAATAGAGGAAATAAACAAGAACAAGAACCAGTAAGAAGAAAAGAAAACCCAGCATGGTGTGTGTGTGTAATATTATGACATGTACACATGCATGTGTTGTGTGAGCACTAATGGTAAAGTAGAAGTAACAAGACGTACTTGAAATTTTATGAGACAGAAAAAAAAGACACCAGCAATCCTACCATCAATGTAAAACAATTAACTGGAGCATACCTGGAGGAATTTCAAGGGGTTAATGTCCCCACACCATCGGTCTGTGACCAGGCCTCGTGGTGGATCAGGGCCCTGATCACCTGGCTGTTTGCAGTTGGCCTGCACACAACGCCAACGTACAAACCAACAGCCCAGCTGTCAGGTACTGACTTCAGATGCCTGTCAAAGCCGTTCTTCGAAGAGAGCCAGGGCCTATTGGTAATCTCCCTTAACGAATATGCTTGAAGGCAGTAACAGTCTTGGGCCCCCCTGACACTTATTGTATTTGCTCTATCAATGCTTAGTGGCACCCCCTGCTTTTCATTGTGGGATGTTGCCATCATCTGTGGTGTGGTGGGTGTGAGTTAGGACCTGACTAGCTTGTGCTGCTGGGTGCTGGTGCAGTGCTCCATACCTTGAGTGGGATGATCAGACTGGGTGGTTCATCGGGCTAATCTGGGGGGGGGGGTCATGGTCCTAATCCAGGGGGGACATGGGACCTGCTCTGCATGGTTCATAGGCCTGTGCATGTTCCTTCTTTCTTATGTTCTTATGTTTCTTTATATCTGGCCAAGTCTTTTGCTGTCATAGGGAGTGATTTTTTTTGTGGCAAGTTTGAGGTACTAATCCCTCAATGATTTTCCAAGTGTAAATAACATGTATCTCTCCTGAAGTTGGGAGGAGGTGTGGGGATTACCAAAACTGTTGTCCAGAGGGCTGAGGAAGGGTTTGTTGAGGTGGTTCAGACAATTAGAGAGAATGGAGCGAACAGAATGACTTCAATAAGTGTATCAGTCTGTAGTGGAAGAAGGCGGGGTATGGTCTGCCTATGAAAGGTTGGAGGGGAGGGGGTAAAGGAGGTTTGTGTGCGAGGGCCTTGGATTCCAGCAGCATGCGTGAGCATTTTTGATAGGAGGGAATGAGACGAAATGTTTTTTAATACTTGACGTGCTGTTGAGTGTGAACAACGTAACATTTATGAGGGATTCAGGGAAACCGCAGGCCCGGATCTTAAGTCCGTGGAATGGAAAGTACAGTGCCTGTCACTCTGAAGGAGGGGTGTTAATGTTACAGTTAAAAAACCTGTAGTGTAAAGCACCCTTCTGGCAAGACAGTAATGGAGTGAAATAAGGTGAAAGTTTTTCTTGGACGGGGCCACCCCGCCGTTGGAGGGATCGGCCAGTGTGTTTAATAAAAAAAAAAAAAAATCTCTCCTTCCCTGCATTCTAGGGAGTATATGTTGAGAGACTTCAAGCATTCCCAGTAATTTAGGTGTTTTATTGCATTTATGTGTGCCATGAAGGTCCTCTGTACATTTTCTAGGTCAGCAGTTCAACCTGCCCTTGAAATAGGTGCTGTTAGTGCGCAGCAATATTCCAGACCAAGATAGAACAGGTGACCTGAAAAATATCATCATTCAATACAAGTTATTCTCTATAAGGGTTACAATGATTGAAGGGGTTCACATCTGCTAAGGTTTTTGTTGGGTATTGTGTGGTTTTACATGTTATAAAATTCTACTTACAGAGGGGGCCACTAGGACACCTAGCATGGCTAGCATTTTGAGCAACCTTAGATTAAATCTTAACATAAAAATCCTTACAGATAATGGTTTTAAAGGCTAAGTTGACTACATCCATAATTTGTGAGTTTACAATGTGGAATGCTTTTTTTTGGCACAAAACAAAGTGTCTATATTGGAGTACATAGCAAACTTATGACTAGTTAGGATTTCTTATTTTAAAGGTTAGTAAATCTGGGTTATAGTCAGGGGAGAGTGAGTGAAATTGTGAACCACCAGTTGGTTATCAATGTAGTTAGTGTCTGAGTGGATCAGGGAGATAATATGTTTTCTAACTGTAGTTTTGAAAGTGATGAAGTGGTGTCTTGCATTTTCTAAGTTTTTCAGGGTAGGGTGTTCCAATTTTTAGGTCTCTTTGAAATACATTGAATATTTGTAAAAGGTTAGTCGAACACTGGGAATGTATATAGAGATGTTTGTGTCCTGGTGTAATGCCAGTTTTAGTCCTGTCACAAACTAACAAGAGAAGCGTTTTTAGGTCAAGGTTAAATATATGGAATTAATGTCCTTGTAAGATATAGATTGAGCTCAGTAATTAAGTGTGGATGTCCTGAACAGGAGTAAGTTTAGATCTTCGAACAGTGGAAGGATGTGTTGCCAGGGAATGGATTTAGTGATTATTCTTACTGGCGGGCTTTTTTTGTTGGGTTTATTATTGGCTTAAGGTGTTTGCTGCAGTCGAACCAATCACAGATAGCATAGTGAGGTATGGATATAATAAGTGAATTAGTAAGTGTGACAAGGGCAGTTTGCGGAACGTAGTAACGTATCTTGGAGAGGTGACTTCCCCACCGTGTTTGGATACTTTTTTTTTTGTTTATATGTGTTGGATAGGTACTGAAATTTAGGTTGTTGACAGGTATAGGCCAAGGAATTTGCCCTCATTATGTTTGCACACCTTCTATGGAGATGTCGATTCTACTAATGTTAAGTTGCGCAACACCTGCTCTGCTACCAAACATATATAGTAGTTTTGCCATGTTAAGTGTAAGTCATCTCAAGTCGATATTTTGAGCAAGCTCCTCATTAACAATGGTGTTTTGAGGTGGCAAGATTAGGGTGGGATGATTGACATTATACATGTCGACAGCCAAAGAGAATGGGTTTCATGTGTTGGGATATGTTTGAAGATCATTGATGTAAATGAGAAAAGCAGGGGTCCAAGGACTCTTCCCTGCAGAACTCCTGTATCAAGAGGCTGTATTGCTGAGGCTGTGTCTTTAATGGTGACATACTTATACCTATTAGAAAGGTAGGATTTAAAATATGCAAGCGCATGGCCTCGTTATACCATAGTGGTCAAGTTGTGGAGTAGGATGCCGTGGTCTACTGTTTCCAAAACGCTTTTCTTCTTAGGTCAATAAAAATTCCTAGCGGATGTTTCCTTATTTTCCCATTGCTGTGTAAAGCAGGTCCTAGATTTTTAATAATTGCATCATTAGTGCTTTTATTTTTTTTATTCCCCCCTGAATCCAAAATTGCAGGGGTTGAGTATGTTTTGTGTTGTTATAAATGAATAATAGTCTCCTGTGCACAAGTATTCTCAAGATTTTGTCGAGAATATGCAAAGGTAAGTTGAATATTGAGCCTATAGTAGTTTACGTCTGTAGGGTCCCACCAACTGTATGTATTGTGTAACCCTTGCTGTCTGAGTATTGTCGGGAAAGTGCTAGTTTCTAATGACTTGTTTAAAAAGTAAATGTAATAGCATGCGCAAGGACAATGGGCCCGCTTCGCTTGTACAATAATGGAGGGGGGACGTGAGACAGATTCCCCGAGTTATTTTTAAGTACATTATTATCGCGGTGACTTCCGTGGCTCAGTTTGTACAGATCGAAGGAATTTGGAATTCCCCCCATCTAGGAAGTTCCCCTGGCACGGGGCATTGGGTAAGTGGATTTTACTGGCGAGATTAGATCCTAACGTTTGAGAAGAAGTCCGTTTATCGTGTTAGCAGTATCAGTGAGATGCATGGTGTTTCATGAGGTTTAGGTTAAGAACAGTGTTCTTGATTTTTCAGTTTATGTGGGTCCCAGAATCTGGGAATGTGTTTTTCCCGTCTTTTTTATATCTCCCTCTTTGTGTCCAGTGAATCTGCTGAGTAGTACAGCTGTATTGGATATCCTTTATTAATTTGGTGAAACTGTTGAATATTTTTAAGAATATTCTTTGTGTATTAAGCCCTGTCCTGTAATAGCTTTTCATACGTGTTTCTTATCAATAGATTTTTCAGAATGCTGCTGGTTAGACATGGGGCAACCAAGCCGTTTATTGATTCGTGATCTTTATGCGTTTTTTATTAGGACCAATGTTTGTTGTATATCTAAGTATTTTTTAAGCAAAAATTCTGTCCCATCGTCAAATACCATTGGCATTGAGAATTCTGTAGGCCAGCTCAGCAGTCTCTAGGTCTGCTGTGAAATTCCTTATTGAGGCCTCGTCATTGAGTCTAAATTAAACTTTGTTGTATTCCTCAGAGGTGGGCTTACGGAATGTTTTGTTTAAGAGGAAGGTTGGGTAGTGTCAATTAGTGCTGTCTGTGATTATCCCCTGATTTGAGGTGCTAGTATATTGGTCCATAAAGTTGGTCTATTATGGTTCACTTGTCTCAGTCAGCCTGGTTGGTTTATTATTGTTGGTATGGTAGAAGTGTTTTGTTCCCATAATGTTGATGAAATCAGTTACAGTATATCATCTGGTAGCCAAGGTTTATATTGAAGATCTCCAGCTAAGAGAAGTGGTGCTAGTTCATTTGTCTGTTTGTTATTATGAGACTTTAGATTCTCACTGAAGTTTGGGAGTTTGTGTTTGGGTATCCGTTATAAGGCACCGATAGTTATAGGCTCTGAGTTTTTACAGTAAAAATAGCAAAAATGAATTCCCCATAATTCATCACTAAAGCAATTAGTGCTAAGAC